CCAATGGGAACAAAGTTGTAGCAGTGTGCCAGACCTCTGTATTTTATAATTTTCTGCGATTCCCTGATAGTAGTAGTGCCACCACCTTCCCGTGTGCTGTAGTGGAGGTAGGTACTGGCCAGTGTGGCAGCGCACGTGCAGTCCCACACTACTTGCTTACGATCCTTCCAAGGTAGTAAGGTGACCCCATCTGGGCGCTTCTGAGGGTCGTTGGGTCTGAATAAGTGTGGTTCTCTTTGTGCTGGGCAGCGGGCCGTGGCGAGGCTCCTCTTGATGTCGCTGATTTCGTCTTGCAATCTTTCCCTGTGATTTACGACAGACCAGACCATGACGACCATATTGGTCTGTCATCGCAGTTCCGCAGATGCACCTATGTTCGGTGAGGATGGGGGCGGTAAGGCGAAGGGCAACTCCAATGCAGAGAGCATCATGATTGAGGCGAGTTCCCAGGGCTGCATTGGGGATAGTAAATTAAAAAATCCCCGGCGTTGGATGCTGTTACCGCTAGGAGGCAGGCTTTGTTTTCAGTATCTGCGTTTTCGAGCATTGTTGTGACGGTCTTTTCCATTATGGGGCTATCCCAGTGGGCCCGCTTGTGGCCTTTTGGGGCTTGTGGTCGGGGTAGAGGGTGTGCAATGGTTTCCCATTGTCTGGCTGCTTCGATGAACGTTTTTGATCATGAGTTACCACTGTGTTTCTCATACGCTCTAGTAGGATCTGCCCTATTAATTCGTTGTACATGAGGATAAGAATGCTGGAAGTGCTACCTCAGTTGCCTTCCGTATGCCTATCCCCCCCAAATCTCACTGGTAGTATTGCTTGGTCCCACTGACTGTCATCTAAATCTAGGTTGAGTGCCTTCCTGAATATTGACCTGAGGAGCTCATTATATTGACTTAGCAGTGGGTTGCCAAAAGTGGGTGCACATCTTAAAACGTTTGCTTAAGTAATGGTTGCTATTCAACCAGTGATAATGGATGATCAAAGGCTCGAAGGACACCTGATTTAGCTTTTAACACCCTCCAGTCCCTACTTAATATATTAATACCCTGATCCAAGCCATTCCAGCCAATTTACATTCAATAATTTTTTCGGGAGTAAAGAGAATGAAGAGGCACAGGTGGAGGAAGAGTTTAGAAATGGAAAATATAGTGGGAGTTACGATAGCAGGCGGGATGTCCGCCTTGCTGATAAGTTGTGTGTGTATATTGGCAGCTAACAACGCTTGCTCTTCGTCAGAGAGCTGTGTATTCACTTAGTTGTGCTTGGGGGGATTGAGCTCTGCTCTTTCGGCCCACCTCTCGACTGTCAATCAACCAACTGTTACCAACTATTTTTTTTTTTTTTTACCCACACACCCCAGAAAGCAGCCCATAACAGCTGTCTAACTTCCAGGTACCTATTTAGTGCTAGGTAACAGGAACATCAGGGTGAAAGAAACTGCCCATTTGTTTCTGCTGGCCCCGGGAATCGAACCCCCGGTCCACATGTCTATCATGCGTGCTATCTACACAACCACCGGCCCCTTGTTTGTGTGTGTAATTACCAAAGTATAGTTACAGGATGAGAGTTACGCTCGTGGTGTCTTGTCTTCCCAGTGTTCTGTCGTATAACACTTTAAAACTACTAATGGTTTTGGCCTCCACCACCTTCTCACATAGCTTGTTCCAACCATTTCCACCTCTCATCAGGCGGTCTTGGAAGGGTTCGAAATTACAAGAGATGAGGTCAAGAGGCGTCTGTTGGATCTGGACGTGACGTGAAAAAGGCTGTTGATTCAGACGGAATCTCACCATGGGTATTGAAAGAGTGTGCAGAAGCACTTTGCTTGCCACTCTCCGTAGTGTATAATAGGTCAGTGAAGACAGGAGACCTATCCGAAATATGGAAGATGGCTAATGTAGTCCCACTCTACAAAAAGGGTGACAGACAAGAGGAACTGAACTACAAGCCAGTGTCCTTAACTTGTATACCATGCAAGGTGATGGAGAAGATCGTGAGAGAAAACCTAGTAACATATCTGGAGAGGAGGGACTTCTTGACAACCCATCAACATGAGTTTAGGGAGGGTTTAGGGAGTTTAGGGAGGCGGACATCCCACCTGCTTTCATAACTCATTGTATTTCCCACTTTTAAACTTCCCTTCACCTATGCCATATCCATCCTCTTTATTCCCCCCACATTAAAAAGAAAAAACATGGGGAGGCAATAGTAAGGTTAAGGATGGACTGCAAGAAAGAAGTTATCCAACCTCAACTTATCTGAAACCTGCCTCTTAGTGTCATTTATTTCACGATGCCTTCCATCCCCCTCTCCCTCCCCTACTCCACACCCCCTTCCCTCCTTCCTCTCCCTCCCCTCCCTCCCTCTCCCTCCCCCCCTCTCCTTCCCCCCCTCTCCCTCCCTCCCTCCCTCTCCCTCCCTCCCTCTCCCTCCCCACCCTCTCCCTCCCTCCCTCTCCCTCCCTCCCTCTCCCTCCCTCCCCCACCTCCCTCCCTCCTCTCCCTCCCCACCTCTCCCTCCCCACCTCTCCCTCCCTCCCTCCTCCTTCCATTCCCCCCTCCCCTTCCATCCCCCCTTCCATTTCTCCCTCCCCCTCTTCCATTTCTCCCTCCCCCTCTTCCATTTCTCCCTCCCCCTCTTCCATTTCTCCCTCCCCCTTCCATTTCTCCCTCCCACCCATCCATTCCACCCCCCCCCATAGGGCGCCTGACAGCTGGGTGGACAGCGCTTCGCATTGTAGTGCTGAGGTTCCGGGTTCGATCCCCGGTGGAGGCAGAGACAAATGGGCAAAATGTTTCTTTCACCCTAATGCCCTGTTACCTAACAGTAAATAGGTACCTGGGAGTTCGACAGCTGCTACGGGCTGCTTCCTGGAGGGGGGGGGGGGGTGTAACATAAAGGAGGTCTGGTTGAGGACCGGGCCGCGGGGACGCTTAGCCCCGAAATCATCTCAAGATAATCTCAAGAACCCCCTCTCCCTCCCCTCTCCTCCTCTCCACTCACCCCCTCCTCCCCTCCACCCACCCCCTCCTCTCTTTTTTTCTGTCGCCCGTTTTGTTTGTCTCCTGTTTTTCTGTGTCCCGTTTTTTGTCCCTTTTTCTTTTTTTGTCCCTTTTTCTGTCTCCCGTTTTTTTGTCCCTTTTTCTGTCTCCCGTTTTTTTTCCCTTTTTCTGTCTCCCGTTTTTTTTGTCCCTTTTTCTGTCTCCCGTTTTTTTTTGTCCCTTTTTCTGTCTCCCGTTTTTTTGTCCCTTTTCTGTCTCCCGTTTTTTTGTCCCGTTTTCTACCTCCCGTTTTTTGTCCCTTTTTCTGTCTCCCGTTTTTTTGTCTCGTTTTTTTGTCTCCCGTGTTTTTGTCTCCCGTGTTTTTTGTCTCCCGTGTTTTTCTGGTGTTTTTCTGTCTCCCGTGTTTTTTTTGTCCCTTTTGTCTCGCGTTTCTTTTCTGTAGTTTTTTTTGTCTTACGTTTTTTTGTCACGTTTTTTTCCTGTCGCGTTTTTTTTTGTCGCGTTTTTTTGTCTCGCGTTTTTTTTTGTCTCGCGTTTTTTTGTCTCGCGTTTTTTTGTCTCGCGTTTTTTTTGTCTCGCGTTTTTTTTCTGTCTCGCGTTTTTTTCTGTCGCGTTTTTTTCTGTCTTGCGTTTTCTTTGTCTCACATTTTTTTTCTGTCGTGTTTTTTTTTGTCGCGTTTTTTTTCTCGTGTTTTTTTTGTCTCGCGTTTTTTTTGCCTCGCGTTTTTTTTGCCTCGCGTTTTTTTTGCCTCGCGTTTTTTTTGCCTCGCGTTTTTTTCTGCCTCGCGTTTTTTTTTCTGCCTCACGTTTTTTTTCTGCCTCGCGTTTTTTTTTCTTTTTTTTCTGCCTCGCGTTTTTTTTTCTGCCTCGCGTTTTTTTTCTGCCTCGCGTTTTTTTCTGCCTCGCGTTTTTTTGTCGCGTTTTTTTCCTGCCTCGCGTTTTTTTTTCTCTTATCTATTAAAAGGAGAGAACAGGAACCAAGCTTCACATTGCTGGAATACATGAGTTATGTGGTTATCATGTCTCCCCTAAGTGTCTCAGGAATTGATGGAGTAGATAAAAAAAGTTTATTTAATGTAGGGTACCTGCATAAGGGGATGCAGGTGGTGGAACTGGACCCAAGTGAGCCAGACATACATTAGAAAGAACTTTTTCAGTGTCAAGAGTAGTTAATGGAATGCATTAGGAATTGATGTAGTTACCTTAAGGTTACAGTATCTTGAGATGCTTTCGGGGCTAAGCATCTCCAAGGCCCGGTCCTCGACCAGGCCTCCTGTTTATTACACATCCCCAGGAAGCAGCCCATAGCAGCTGTCTAACTCCCAGGTACCTATTTACTGCTAGGTGAAAAGGAGCATCAGGGTGAAAGAAACTGCCCATTTGTCTCTAGCTCCACTGGGGATCGAACCCGGAACCTCAGGACTATGAATCTGAAGCACTGTCCCACTCAAGTGTCAGGCCCCACAGTTTCAAATGTAGATATGATTGAGCTCAATAAGCTCAGGAACCCATCATTTGGTATTCCCAGGTGGTCACCCATCCAAGTACCAACATACCTGGCGTGTGCGAGTACTCGCCTATTTGTACTCGCCTAGTTGTTTGTGGGGGTTGAGCATCAGCTCTTTGGTCCCGACTCTCGACTGTCAATCAACAATTGAGTCTGTGTGTTGGAGGGGTGTGGGGTGGGGGTTGTTTTGAGTGTGTGAGGTTGATTTGGTGTTGACAAATGTTATTTCCTAGACATTTATATTTAAATCAATGCTGTACATTCAAAATATATAATGGTGGTATGTATGCATGTTGTACCACAGTATCATATGTAATTAGTATGCTGATTTTTATACCAACATGCAAAATGAAGGAGCTTACTTTCAAGACCTTTTTAACTTGTATCAAGAAATCATATACTTTGTATTACTGTTGATGATGATTATGTATTTTACTATAAGGTAATTTAGATTTTTCCCATTTTAATATAAAGTATTTTTATATCAGCGAGAACGGAAGGAGCGAAAGTTGTACAGCGATGACTGGGCTCTGGGAGATGAGGAAATTGAGGGTCATCACACATTTGATCTTGATCAAAAGATAAAATCAGAAGAGTTTAATTCATGTTTTGTTAAAGATATGACGGATACAGGTAAGTGGCAGTGGTAGTCATGAATATATAAATATTACCATACAGTATTGATCATGTTTGTTCTGGTAGTGATAACACTTTACAGATAATTTGTTAATATTGATGTGGATGAAAAGTAGTCATAGGCTTTTTTCAATTTTATCTTTATTTGATGTATATTTTCTTTCCAGAATATAATCTTGCACATGTACAAGAGAACGGGTTTAATTGGCCATTGCTTTTCAAAGACAAGAAACGTCTAGGCATCGTAATACCTAACGAGGATTTCACGATCAATGATGTCCGTCTGTGTGTTGGTGAGCTGAATTAGAATAATCTGAAGTTAAAAAAAATTCAATTTAAATTATTTATTATGTAAATGTTTTAACACTGAAATATATTACAGTACTCTGACCCCCAGCTACTGTACAACTATTCTAATATAAGCTTTACAGTATTGTTGAGAATGCTTATTTACTATATAAAGAATTAAGCTTTTGAAATTCAGTACATATATATTAAAATAATTGGATAATTTTTTTGTGGTTGAGTTCATTTTGTACAGGGAAATTGAAAAATACTGAAAAGGAAATAATAATGATGAATGAAAGATGGCATGGAGTTAAGGATTGTGACCAGAATTAATTACAACAGCATTTGGATGCATTACAATTTAATTATTATTCAGTGGTTAATACCTTTGCTCCTATGTGTAAAATGTGACTTGTCTTACCTAAAAAAAAAAGTGCTGTATATTCTTGGTGCTTTTACTTCTTATACAGAATATAAACTTTCTGCAGTTATGGTGCATAAAGCTGGTGGTCCCTGAATGTGGGAAAAGGTAAATGTAAATGAAAAGGTAAACTGAGGTGGACGAACAGACCACTTCATGATGCTCTTTGTCAGTGGACCATAGTAAGTGATATGGATCCATAATGTGTTGCAGGAGGCTGAATAAATGTTCAAAGCATTGTGGAATATATCATAGCACCAGGCAGGACCACCAGGGATATTAGTGCTTTATCTCTGAAGTTTGATTTTTGCAGGCCTGCAAAGATTGTAACATGCCTTGTACATGTTACAATCCAGTTTCAGGCACCCTCAGTCTCCATTCTGTAAGAGGAATAGTAAGATGTGGGATGCTACCCATCACCAGTGCTGTCCTTGCCCACATGGCCTCTCTTCTTCATTTATGCTCATAGAAATGTGCCCCTTCCCTGCTACAGGCATGATATATACGCCCTGAGTAACATGTCCCATGGTGCGCATGGCGTATATATACGCCATAGGGTGCCAGGCCTGATTCAAATGGCCCGCGGCTACACGGGGTTCACAGTAGCTTCCTCAGGGCTCTTGTAAACAGATGCCATTTTTAAAAAAAATCGTGGGCAATATTCTCAGGTGTGAGAGGCACAGTACTGTTGGAGCAACCAAGGCCGGCGCACGCAGCATGAGCGAACAGCATTGATGTTCAGCTTGTGCCCACAGCATCGCCGAAAAATGTCAAAATAAATATATAATTGTTATTATTTAGCGATGACAATATTTGTTGGGGGAGAAAGTTTAGTGCGTGTGACCTTGAAAGAGTGAGGGAGCCGCCATCTGTGTATAGCGACGACTCTTAGTGCCTGAACTAACTATATCAGCTTAGCTGTACAGTTGTGGTGAACAAAATATACTCATACTTATATATAACGTCTGTATATAGTGTAATAACACCACAACTGGTATTGTTGGGGGAGAAAGTTTAGTGCGTGTGTTGAGGGAGTGGCAGTGAGTGGCTGGCTGATGTGTGGCGGTAACTCCTCGTTGCTTTTCGACTCTCAATACAAACTTAGTGGTTCGTTATGGTGACCAAAACATGCCAATACTTATATATAACCTGTGTATAGAGTGTAATAGCAGCAAAACTATTTGTTTATTGTTTTATAAACATAATAATTGAATCACTAATACGCACATCATACTTTTGAGTATAGCGATTATTAACCACTTTTATTATATAAATATATTACAATACACACTATTGAATAATATTACTGCAAAATTAATGGTAACTCTCCAGTGACTGTTTTGGCAAGTCCTAGATGGGATATGAGGGGATAGACATGATTTACAGATAAATGACATGAAACATCTTTACCTTGTAAAGTTATCCATTTTGTATATAATAAATAGCATGAGAGAGATTCACAGAAATGCTGTAATCAAACTATATAGACATACGAGGTACAAAAGGAGCAAAGCGGCCAATAATAAACAAAATTTATGCTTTGATATTGTTTTGTACAGTACTGTATTTCAAAACACTGATAAGGGAAATGTACCAAAATAATTTAGGAAAAAATAAGCTATTGTAATATTGGATAGACAATCTTGCACGAAAGCTCGTACTCTCTAATAAAGCCAAATTTGACATTTTTTTCAATTGTCATTCACACTTCCGTGGAAGTGGATAGAGCTTCGGCCTCACACGCCATATTCACCTTCGGTCTTTAGTCTCCCAAAGCCCAGGTGAATGGATTTGAAAAATTTAATTATACTGTATTGCTAAAATTTATTGTGATTCTTATTATAATTTTGCTACCAATATACTAATATGACACCATTTCAGGATCACGTAGGATGCTAGATGTTATGGATGTGAACACACAGAAGAATGTAGAAATGACGATGAAAGATTGGCAACGATACTTTGAAAGCCAGGACAAGGACAAGTTGCTCAATGTCATATCCTTAGAATTTTCTCACACAAAACTTGAGTCATTAATTCAAGCACCAACTGTAGTAAGTTTCGCCTTTTACCAAATGTCGTTCAAATTTGATAAGCAGAGAAAAAATGAATATTTAAATCATATTTAGTGACTGTTTAATATACCCAATGACATCTCATCCCACACTCATCACATACCCACACTCATCACATAGCAAACACCACACAGTAGATATTGTAAAATCTTGATTCATTTTGCCCAGATTAATAAACAAAATAATCTCTTCCTTGTCTGGGACCACCATCTAGGGGTGTCTTTAAACCAAGACATTACTATATACAGTGACTAAAAACACTTTTCGGTGTACCGCAGGAATGTTTTTAAAAGGTGCGCTGTGCAGTGGTATTAATATGGATCTGTGTAGTAGTATACATTGTTTAATGTCCAATCTTGTAATAAGAGGCTAAGTTTAAGATTTAATGAGTTGGGTACCAAAGGCTTTGTTATTGTGTTGACCAAACCACACACTAGAAATTGAAAAGACTATGATGTTTTGGTCCGTCCTAGACCATTATCAAGTTGATTGTGATGAGACAAGGGAGGCAAAGGCATTAAGTAAGGGGAAAGAGGTGTGAGGAGACAGAAATCTTAGAGGAAGATGAGAGCAAGGCAAAGGGTACGGAAGGTAAGGTGTAATACTAGAAGTAAGAATGGGAACGTAAGAGAAACATGAGAAAGAAGAAAAGAAATGAGAGGAAAAAGGAAGAGTATGCTTATGTTAGGTCACGTTTGTTAGAAAGTATAGAACATTTGAATATGTACTGTGAAAGTGAAGAGAAGAGAGTCAACAGCAACAAAGCCAGGACTAAGGTTCATGTTGGGTAGGTTGTGTATCAGCGCTGATTCAACAAGACGGCGTCTGTAGAGTAGAGGTAGGACAAATTATTTTAGAGGAAGACCAATCAATAGGATGACCAGAATCCCTAACATGACAGAAGAGCATTGTTAGTCTGCAGACGTAACACTTCTTTTGTGTTCCTTAAGTTATTAGGTGTTCGGCCAGTTTTCCCAAAATACTGGAGAGGACAAGACGAACAGGAAATAGAGTAGACACCAGCAGCATTAGAAGCAGGAGAAGTGTGAACCAGATTACTACAAAGTGTTAGTTTGTCGAAAGGCAAGCTTTGTCAAGAGGACGGAAGGTATTAGTACGAGATTAGAGTTCAGATATGAAGAGAAGGCACAGTGCTAAAAGGGCTGGAAGCAGGTTTAGGATGAAAGAAATTTCGTTTAGCTTGAGAATAGGCACAGTTGACAAAATGTAAATGGTAACCAAAGCCAGAGAAAGCTTTGTAGATAAATGACATTTCAGAAATTTGGTCCAGGATAGACCAAAACGTTGTCGTCTCTTCAATTTCTAGTGTGTGGTGTGGTCGACATTTTCCAGCCGTGTTGTGACTTTTCATTTGCTTTGTTATTGTTTTATATTTTAACCAGTTACTAAATTATTGGTTTTGTTTAACAGTAAATATATTTATTATTTTGAGTCATGACCGAGGATTCTTTTTCTATGAGTAGATGGTTAGATAGCCATTGGTTGTTGTAATTGAAAGATAATATCATATTATTGCTCTTAATTCACCCAATAAAAGAAAAATGCTAGCCTACAATCTGGTAATTTATTAGTAGGTTTACAGAAGGTGTATAATAGATGTAGATAGTGGATGATGCTGACCTATTTGAAATAGATAGGGTGATAGTACATAAATGTGGACCCATCTATATACATAGTTGTATCTACTACTGTCCTCCATACTGATGCCACTACTTCCCTTACATCTTCCATGCTGTCACATTTACCACCCTTTGGGGGATCATTACAACCCATGCCTTGTTAATTAAAATGTATTTTATATAAAATTTAGTTTTGTTAAGGTTTATAACTTTAAGCATTTATCTCCTAAGGTACGACAGGTAGACTGGGTGGAGCGAGTGTGGCCAAGACATTTAAAGGAGGCCCAAACTGAAGCCACTAATGTACTAGAAGACATGATGTACCCCAAAGTTCAGAAATATTGCCTTATGTCTGTTAGAGGCTGCTATACAGACTTCCACATAGATTTTGGCGGGACTTCAGTATGGTATCATGTCCTCCGTGGAAAGAAGGTTAGATATAATTATTGGGTATTCCCGATAAGGAAACCTTTGGTTTTGTATAGTTTATTTTCTATTGGCAGGTTTCCATTTAATATGCAGACGAGGAGTTACAATAATGTGGCCGAAATATGTTGACCAAACCACACACTAGAAAGTGAAGGAATGACGACGTTTCGGTCCGTCCTGAACCATTCTCAAGTCCATTCAATACATCTAACTTATTATAGTACTGACTTCAAAAATTAAGCTACTGAAACACAAAAAAGTGGGGTTACTACTGAAAGTGAGCAAATTATATCTTGAGCATCCTGTCATTGACTTTAAACTGACATCACAATGGTGATGTCCTGTCTTGAGTATTGCTCGGTACTTGCATCCCCCTTCAGAGCAGGAGAGATTGCTGAAATAGAGGGAATACAGAGAACATATATGGCACACAAAGACGAGATAAAGCACCTAAATTATTGGGATCATCTCAAAGCCCTCCAAATGTACTCCCTAGAGAGGAGACGAGAGATACTAAATAATGCACACGGAAAGTACTGGAGGGCCAGGTCCCAAATCTACACAGTAAAATAACAACGTACTAGAGTGAACGATATAGAAGAAAATGCAGAATTGAACCAGTGAAGAGCAGAGGTGCCATAGGCACAATCAGAGAACACTGTATAAACATCAGAGGTCCGCGGTTGTTCAACACCCTACCAGTGAACATAAGAAATATTGCCGGAACAATAGTGGACATCTTCAAGAGAAAACTAGATTGTTTCCTCCAAGGAGTGCCGGACCAACCGGGCTGTGGTGGGTATGTGGGCCTGCGGGCCGCTCCAAGCAACAGCCTGGTGGACCAAACTCTCACAAGTCAAGCCTGGCCTTGGGCCAGGCTTGGGGAGTTGAAGAACTCCCAGAACCCCATCAACCAGGTATCAACCAGGTATCAATGTTTATGTAATACTATAAAGCTAAGGATCCATTTGTTTTTGAAAATGTTGCCAAGTGTTTTTTTTAAGACTGCCTTGTTACATTCATTTGAATGTAAAGCACATTAACGTTACTCACTATCCACCCTCAACTTCAAATACTGTAAAAGAAAAGTAAAAGAATATTCAGACCAGAGTTGTAGCCTAGAAACCTGGCCAACTTGGAATTACATATGCAGGCCAGGCTGTGCCTTAATTAATATAAGTAGTTTATAACAGGCAGTTGCAGGCAATTAGATGTGGAGAGCCAAGTAGTGTAGACAGGGCCTTGACACCAATAACAAGCTCCATGGCGGTTTCCTTCTGACCTTTCATTTTTTTCTGTCTTCATAGCCCTGTTTGCTGTATTGAACTCTTTCAACAGCTATATGTATATCCACTGCTGGAGTTTGTCAATGCCTTCTAGCAATACTCTTCATAGTAAAATTTATACTTAAGTGTTTCTGGTGCCTGCAGATACATATATGTACTTAAAATTCTATAAGTTGGATCTGGTAATTTACGAGTACTTGACTGTATTTGGTCAGAATTAGCATAAATTTCAGTAAGGAAGTAAATCATTTTATCATTTTACCTTTATCATTTTATGTTGTATATTATCAGGTTTACATATTATTTGCTATAAAAACTCCATCAAATTTGGTAATGCATAATCAAAATTTTTTTAAATGCCCTAAAATTTAATAATATCTCTAATTCAGATCAGAATTTGAACAGTTTAGTAGAATTTTTTGGGGTGATTAATAAAATCACCCCAAAAATCAGAGATTGCGTACATTTTTCTTGCGGGGTGGGGGGAAGGGGGGTATCATCGTTTGTCGATAAGTAGCTTAACAGACTTTTTGAATTTCACTTATAAATTCTTGGTTTTCCCTTTCAGATTTTTTGGCTAATACCTCCTACAGAACGCAATCTTCAACTATATGAGCAGTGGGTTCTTTCAGGCAAGCAGAGTGACATATTCTTCGGGGACACAGTAGACAAGTGTGCTCGCATAGAACTCTATAAAGGCAACACTTTCTTTATACCTACTGGTATGTTGGCTCTAGTATTGTAGCTGTATGAAATTTTAATATCCACAAATGGTTACTGAATAGTGTTAAATGGAGAATACCTTTTACAGTATTATGATGGGTTATATTGAGGTGTGTGTCTAAGCATTTCTGTGGCCCCGCGAGTCTGCATGCTGCAAAAAGAATCCCTAACCTATTCTGTGTTAAAAATTTATTTGAAATTTAATGCATCTAAAGGATATCTAGCTTAGTACAAACTACTTGAATTTCAGTTGGTTAATCAACATTTCTTCTGAATTACAAATGCTTTTATTTTTTGTTGCATGTAAAAAAAAAAATTGTCTGGATTGGTTTCTTAACTGTTTCTATGATTTCTACTTTGACAAATACTTCAGAGGTAAGCATTTGTTTGCTACCTTCTAAGTATAAGGTTTGTGGAATGAACTAGACAAATTAGCTTGTATTACAAATAATTGAAGATTTTCTTGCATATTTTTCAGCCTTAGTTTAAGTAGTGTAGATAATTTGGCTTCCCCTCATTGTCTTTGTCACAACAGTGTTCATAATTTCTTCCTTTAAATTTTCTGAAATAAGTTTACATTGTCATTGCAAGTATTGTGAATGAGTTAATAATTGATCGTGCATTAAATGGAGCCTTTAACGCAATAAATTGTTGCTTATCCATTTTTGAGAAGTGAGTTTCAGCTCTTGGGTTTGACTGGGTTGTCTTTCATTGGGCTAACTGCTGTGGGAAATAAGATACTCCTTGATATATGAAATCCTTTGCCACTTAAATTTTTAGCTTCAGCTCGGTTCATCCTCGGATGCATCATCACTGAACGCAGAAAACGATTCATCTATGTATCATCTAAATAAATTGGAGATAGCATAGGATTGCAAGGGTGACGCTTAGCGCTACAACTGGATACGCTCGCTGTATCACCCTCATAGGTGCTGTATCACTTGCATCCGACCTTTGTGTTAGGTCCTTATTGCGCCTAGCTTCACCAATATTATGACCCTTATGTTCTTCAAACAATAAGGTTTGAATTTCACCGACAGTGTGTGATCTTTCAACGCCGCGTCAGACAGGTGTTTGGGAGCCAGAGGCGCGTGCGCCACCCATGGTTGCTCATTCAGTACTAACCCAGCCAGCAGCCCTAGGGCATTCTGGGAATTTTTTCCAAGATGGCTGCTGCTCACTGGAGGTCCTAAGAATCCATATCGTACACAACCAACCTTGTACACATTTAGAATTGGTACCGAAAAATCAATTTTTTCTCGGTTGGCGCAGTTTCCCACCGACCTAGAATACTCGGTTGGTGCAGTTAAGTGGTTAAGGGTTAAGCGACGAGATTGGGAATGGGATTAGGTTCATTTTACTGTGCATGAATTCTTCCCGGGGCAACTGATGCTGCCTTGCCTATGCAAGATTATACACATTGATTTTTTAAATAAATGAAATGTTTAATATTGATATTAATTTCCCATCAGGTTGGATTCATGCAGTTTACACGCCTGAAGACTCCTTAGTGTTTGGTGGCAACTTTTTGCATAGCTTTGGGATAGAGAAACAGCTCAGAGTTGCCCAGGTGGAAGATGCAACACATGTAAGTGTCACTGCTATGGCTTTGGATGTATAATAGTTTTATAAGAAATACAGTATAACTATTTTAATTCAATTTAGGTATCTTGTGTAACACCTGAAGAGTACTTTTGTATTGAAATTCTTCAGTTCATTTAGATATAGTAGAACCTCGAGTGACGACCACCTCAAATGGCGAGCAATTTAGGTAACGAGTGCCCTGATCGCCGACAATTCGTCTCGTTAGGCGAGCGCTCGTTTGAATAACGTCAACACCATGTGGTGTTGACATTATTTTAAATGGGGAAATTCGTTTTGAATGACGTCGGTTTCACGTGACGACCACGGCACTGGAATGGATTAAATTCGTTATTCGAGGTTCCACTATATTTGTGCAAGGTGTGTGTTATGATAGCCTGTGTAACTTCCCTGGTGGAATAATTTAGGTCCATTTTATCATTGAGGAAAATGGGCTCAAGTGATATTGAAAATGAATAGCACAGCTCGACAAAGTTTTACGTACACGTGCCCTAATGGCAGATATTTATGGTAGCCTTTGCAAAATGATATCATTTAAAAAAAAAATTCAGAATATCCTTTGTTCCATTTGTAAAGCCTGATGATTTGTGTATTGTGTGAAAATGTTATCATAATGATGCTGTCCTCCATATCATCCATACAGCTACCACCACCCACCTCCCTCCCCCCCTTCTCACTCATTACTTATTTCCTTGCTTCCTCTCTCATGCCTGTTTTATGGTAGTTTTAAGAATGATTACACTAGGATGTATAATATATATGTTAACTATATATTTTGACAGTAATTGGCAACTGTGTAACTGGGTGCATTAAATGAGCCAGTATAACTGTGTTAAAATGTAAGTACTAATAAAATTACATGCTTTACATTAGTGTAATTTGGGATTCTCTTTTCAGGTACCCTCAAAATTCCGATACCCATTCTTTACCGAGATGCTCTGGTACGTACTGGAGCGTTACGTCCACGTTCTGCTGGGCCGCACACATCTTGCCCTGCCCCCCGATGAGCACGAAAAGTACATAAAATATTTAGCCAGTAAAATGAAAGCCAATAATAACAATCAGCTGAATGAGGTGTGTATATGCTTCTGTTCATTTCAACTACAGCTTGTAAGAGCCTTATCCTTGAAATTGTTTTGAACCCTTTCATTGATATTAATGTACCTTATTTCTGATTAATTGTATGGGGTTGGGAGACATGAGCACAGGGAAAGTAAATTGCATTATGGAAGGTTATAGCCAATAAATTAAAAACTTTACCATGCAGTATACATTTACAATGGAATTTCTTCTCTATAATTTGTTTGTAAATCAATATTTTGTTGAAAGTTCACTGTAGTGTCACTTGAATGAACGGATTTGTTATGAAAATTTTTACTGATTGCAAAATTCTTACATTCATAAAATTGTTGTATCTAAAGTTTGATGCAACCATCAATCTTTTGATTGATGTTGCATCAATCTTTTTTTACCCTGAATGTTGGCAAATAAAAATGTTTGTGGAAGTGCTGGATGCTTTACTTGGTGTTAATATCTGAGGCTCTGGTAAGGAGGCCACTGTGTTTGCGTCCTCTCCAGCAATTGACTGAGTTGGTGGTAGAGTCTGGATATTTTTAGCCATTCTTCTCCTCTTGTTAAAAAATCATCCTGGTAAATAGTGTTGTGGCTGCTTTCGTCGAGGTGGTTTGTCTTATTCGCTTTTTTTATGAAAAGCTGGACATTGTGTTGAAACATTCATTCTTATTTAAAGAGTTGCACAGTTCTGGGTGAGAGAGATCACAGCTTTTGGTACATTTTCCTGTACTAAGAAGGGTCCTGCACTTTCTTGGATGATCATATTTACATAGTCCATTTGTTCTCCTCAATATCCCATGCTTACAGATACCCCATTTATAATATCGGCAGATTTTGGGTCTTTGTTTTGTTTTTCAAAGTCCCTAGCGCCGATACCGCACCCGATCCCAACGTCGTGCCCAACCAACATGGCATCTGGCCTCGGCACCAACGTCGCATCCGGCACCAGCACCAATGTTGCATCCGGCCCTGACGCTGACTGACTGCTGCGGATCTGAGATTCATTCTGGACTTGTCCCTTCTGAAAACTAGGATTCGTTGATCATCCTGTCAGATGACCACTCCGTCTCAGGTCCGGCTTCAGTTTGAGCTGGGTGCCTGGATGGTGTCCCTGGACCTCAAGGATGTGTATTAGCACGTTCCCATTCATCCAGGGTTCAGGGACTGGTTAGGTTTTGTGGTGGAGCATCAGGCTTACTGTTTTTGTTGCCCACCTTTTGGCTTGAACCTGGCACCTTGCATGTTCACATGTCTTACCTGGGTCGTGGTGACCCGTCTGCTTCTGCTAGAGGTTTTGGTTCTGGCCTACCTTGACGACTGGCTGGTGTGGGCTCCAAGCGCATCTGCTTGTCTGCTCGCCAGGAGTGTTTTTTTTTTCCTGGCTAACATTCAACACTGTTTTTTTTATTGGGCTCATGCTTTCCTGCCCTACGACAGGAGGAAACAAGGTAATTGTGATCATACTGTGAAGAAAGTGTTGAATGGGAAGAGTAAAATTAGCTATAAAGGATTGCAAGATAACTTATTTTTATAAGGTAGCCCAAGATGTTACTTTCTTAAAAATATATTTTTATTTTAGTGTTTAAATATTATTTTCCCTTAAATGAAGTACATTGATTAACACACCTTTTATGCCTTTGTTTTCAGGATGGTAAAGAAGGGAAAGAGCCTAAATTGGACTTGAGTACGACAATACCGCCAGATGAACACGTTAACCTAACTCAGTACGAGCTCCATGGACTGAAAGCCATTGTGATGTACCTTCATGCCCTTCCCACCAGTAAAAAGTGTGTACCAGAACTCATCACTGATCCGATAGCGCTAATCAGAGACGTTCGCACAGTGGTAGAGAAGCATAGATATGACAAACCAGAGCTCTCCAGAACTTCTAAGCCTGTCCTAGAGTGGTGGACAAGGGTTAGTTTTGCAAGAATTTTAGTTGTATTTAGGTATGCCAGGAATGGATTGCCTTATGATTTTCACTGAATTTTGTTTTTCCTTGTCATATTAGGTTTTCATTCGTCTATGCTACCTATATTGGCTTCAAACTTTTTAGACGTGTATATGGTGGTGCATGGACAGTTCCCTATTCTTAATGGGCTATATAGTCTCCCTCCTGGCAGTTTTTTTAATGTTTTATAAATCTTGGACAGGTTAAAAGGAGGTAGGTGATAAGCAATTTATTGAGAACTAACAATCATGACTGTAAAGTATTTACACAGATGCTGATGCTAAATAATAATCCCAATACTCTGGATTGCAACAGTTATGATACTTATTTTATACAGTATTTTTTGTGTGTATTTCTAAAGTTGTAGATTGGCAAAAATTGAGTACAATTAAGTAACCTCACCACCCTCAAACTATTTCTACCATCATTTCAGCACAAATTCTATCACTAACGCTGCTCTTGTCATTTCCCAAGATATGATGGCCTGGCTGTAATTTGACTGTCTTCAATCAAAACATACTAGATATGTTAATATATTGATAGCAACTCTTATTCACCTTTGTCTACTCATTCCAAGTATTTTTTCGTTGTCTTGCCCTTCTCGTGTTTCTTTTACCTAGGTAATTTACTCTTGTTCCTGCTCTCACTACATGGGTTGATAATTGGTAGCCGTGCATTTTGTCAGCGTACAAGCAAGATATTTTTTACCTTTTGAATTTATTTTCTTTTATTCAGGAACCCACAAAGTTTGGAATCAAAAGACCTTTGGGAGAAAATACTGGAGGAGGGATAAAAAGACGACGTAGGAATTCAGATGAAAATAGAATTGTTGGCTTGCCTCCCAATGCTGCCAAAGTCAGACATCGAAGAGTTAGATGTAAGTCTTCTACACTATTAACAACAATTTAAATCATTGCTCTATATTATGTACACGTTTCATATTCATGTTAGCAGTTTTAAGTGTTGCTGTAATTTCCTGAACTATATTTTATTAATAAGTCATTGGTAATGCATTTATTAGATGATTCTTAGTCTGGCAGATTAAATTTTATAAATTTAGTCAGTCTTGAAATATGCATTGTAGGGTTTTTGTTAATATTTATTGTTCCCTTAGTATTTTTAGTGTCTGATTTATCCTATTTAATACTAGCATTTTAATTTTTTCAGGTAAATTATGTGAATCTTGTCAGCGAGAAGACTGCAAGCAATGTGTGTATTGTCTAGATATGGTAAAATATGGTGGTCCAGGGACTATGAAACAAACTTGTAAAATGAAAAAATGTACACAGGTTAGTGTTGCAATATTTAAATGTATAGGTTTTCTATTATTTTTTCAAACATTGTGATCAGAGTTGTGTGTAAATGTATAAATTCACAGGTTGTCAGTCATTTGTAATAATGGCATCACTTGACAACTTGTATATTTATTTAGGTTGGTATTGCTTGCTTGCAGGTATGCTTGCTTTCTTGTTTATTCCTCCTTCATGTGATACAATATTGTTAAATTATTAATGACAAGAAGAGCTCATGAAATACGTAAAATTAGAAATACCTGCACATGGGCCATGTTGACTACTCATGTTATTTCAGAGACCCAACATGTTTAAATGTTTAACTTCAGTTGCCCTTCTTGGGTGCTTGATGCACAAGTCTGTAACATTAGTATAATACTGTTTAGTTTCTCAAGCTATTTGTGAGGTTTAGAACTTTGATTTTTATAATGCAAATGCATATTCTTGAGTGTAGATGGAAAAAAGTTTGCATACTTCTTTCATGGAGAGTCTCTGAGTATACAGGAGTTTATAAAGATTTCAACATGCCTCTATTTATTTTTCTTGTAAATGTGCATAAATATGCAGTGTCGGCAAATTGTTTAAAGATAAACCTCGGTGATATTGGTTTAACAGCGTGGCCCATCTAACAATTCTTTGTTGACAGCCGATGCTTCCTGCTGCTGCCGTTTGTTATGAATGCCAGCTAGATGGATGGGAGCGAGTATCTTGTGCACCGCCACAAAAGCCACCTTCAAACACTCCAAGCAGTCTCTTCGAATGTTGTGTGTGTTTCAAAATTTCTCATCTTAAATGCATCAGTAGCAAAGTAAGTCAACAATGATTTTAGGTAGAGATTTGTTGCAATTCTTATCAAGTATTAATCAGTAAATCTTTTTGTCAAGGGGGGATACTTTACCATGTAGTTACCTTGTGATAATTCCGGAGCTTAGCATCCCCACGGCCCGGTCCTCGACCAGGCTTCCTGGTTGCTGGACTGGTCAACCAGGCTGTTGGATGCCTGGTTGTGATCAGGGAAATGGTGATGTGGGATAATTTGTGCACATTTTGTTGCCTTTGGGTCTTAATTGTGTTATGGGCTCCTCTAAATGAGTACTTAAACGTTCTTAATTTGATGTGATCATGCAATATTTAGTGTATTGTATTTCAACTTTCAAAACTAAGTTTTGCTTGTGCAAAGAAGATTCCAATTGTTATTATTAAATTTGATCTATAGTGGCAGAGTTTAACACCTGGGCAGCACTGCTAATTAACGCTTACAACACCACTGTGCACAAAAAAATAATTCTTTCGAGATTAAAATGATCATGATAAACTGATTAAAATTAAAATTTCCCTGATCATGGGAAAAATGATAAAAGAATCATATGTGACATATTTTGGCCGCAATAGGGTGAGGAAGTCTGGCAAGATTTAGGCACTGACAGAGTATATGTTTGGCGCCAGTCTACTCCACCCTAGCTGTTAGGCGAGAGTTGCCACAAAGATAATACTAATTATTTCAATGTCTCTTATTTATTTATTTTTTTTTTATTTTGCAGTAACATTGAATAGTGTGTAGTGTGATACATTTATATAATAAAATGTGTAAATCATCACTACTCAAAAGTGTAGTTTTATATGGGGATTTTAAATCTTATACAGTACTTTAAAACGTATATATACGGTGTGCGCTGTGCAGGCAGTTAAACCAAAATTGTATATATAGTATACAATTTGTGCTGTTAAACGTTTAAACCCATTTATAAAATAATCTTGAGGGGCAGGGGAGGGGGTGACTTTAAAGTATTATTTTTATCTCAACCAAATTAATATGCATTAATACCAGGGAATGAATATGATATGAAAACCATATATTTAGAAGTTATAGTAAAAGTGCGCTAAAGAGAAATGTAATCCTTTTCTTCCAGTACCCAGATGCTGATGGTGTAGTTAATGAGGATCTACCCAACAGTTGGGAGTGTCCAGAGTGTGTTAAGGAAGGATATAATAAAGAGTACAAAGTAAGTGGCACTGTTTCTAAGTGTAGTGCATAGTAACATAATGGTACTGTATGCATGTAATATGTAAGATGCCACAAAGTCTCTACATAGGTATTTGTTTAATTTAAAGCTGAGAATTTATAATATATTGATTAATTATGAGGCCTTTTGGGTAAATGGTAGCAAATTGTCATGTATGTTTCTCCAGTAAGTTTGGCTAAAATTGTTTTTTGGAGATGTCTGGTGAAAGTATTGATCCTTTGTAAGCAAAAATGTTGATAATTACTAAGTCCTATGAATAAGGTTATTGTTGGTTACAACTTTAATAAGTACCTCGTCAGTCATGCCAAGTAAGAAATGAAATAGTTGTGGTGGTTGTCAACTTCACAACTATTAGCCGTTCAACTGGTGTTCTTCAGTGCTTAGTCAATATGGAGTCATATTATGATCATTACTTATGCATTAGTCTACCTTGGTAATGTATCCATAATTAAATAATTGAAAGACTTATTATACTGAGAATACTAGGTAGTGTCTAGATATAGAGATACTAGGAGTGTCTAGGGTTTAAGCAGAAATGCTAATATGTGTTTATCCTATTGTGCATATTTGAGGATGAAAAAGAATGTTTTTGGACTGGTTAGTGTACTTTTTTGATATTGTTACTGAGAATGATGACTGCAGTGCCTCTCACTGTTCTTTTGGCCCATGGCTTTGGCCAGTTAGTAAATTTATATATCTTCCAGTGGAAAAAATGTAAATAGGGTTTCCAAATCAAAGCATTGGTTTCATAAAAATTTATCATACCTTCCCACTTGGATGTTTGAAGGTCACTGTTCTTGGTAAGTTTCTTGCTCAGTTGGATGCTATTGTTGTTGTATGATGGGAAAAGTGAAAATGTAAGTTATGCTATCTAGTGGCTGGAAGAGTAGTTAAGTGGTGGGTGGTGGTAGTTGTTGATTTTAGATTCAGCTACTCGGAACAAAAATTCAAAGTAGCACGGGCTATGGTGATCCCATAGTGGACTTTTAATCAGGTGGCATTTTAGATATTTACAATAGTTTTTAATTTTCTTTGGTAGTCCATCAAGGTCCCCCCCTTCTTTTTTCTACTTTTATGACTGGATGTAATCTCGGTGTGTGGAGTCCTTATGATTCCCAATGATTCTGATCCGTGCCCCTGCCTCCACTAGGCCATGAAATAGGTTGGGATATCAATGCACATTTGTTTTTCTCCTCTACAAGCATTAAGTATTTTTCTCTTGGGTTGGTTGGTACCAGTGTTGATTTGCAACCTAAAAGTGAAGTGTTTAGCAAATATTTTCCATAAAAGTAGCTCGTTAAAAATATAAATTGGGGGTGATGCATTTGGTGCATGTATATAATGTGTGTGTGTGTGTGTGTATGTACTGTATATGTGTGTATATATATATGTATATGCGAACAAGCCTGAATGGTCCCCAGTTATATATATGTATATATATATATAATGTATATATATATATAATGTATATATATCATGTATATGTATATAATTAGATTTATTAAAATACACAATATTGATATTTTTCTTGTAATTGTCACTTTGTTTTTCTAGCATAATCGGGTTCCAAGCAGTCGAGGATCTGCAGCTGGAAGTGACACGGGTGGTGTGAAGACTCCGCAGATTTTGGTGCGTAATAACTTTTATAAAGTACAGTACAACCTCAATTCAATGAACTACAGTATATGAAACTGGCCCCAATTAATTTTAGTGAGGGTTACATTACAACCAGAGATGTCTCCAAGATGCATTTCCTCATGCTCTCTGAGCTAATTTCACTTGGTAATGTTTTCTTTTCGACCTATAATATAATGGACAATTATCAAATGAACGTGTTTAGATAAAAATTTAACCACATCTAACTTATTTCTCACATTCTCTGCCTCAAAATTCATTTTCAAAAGGTATTAGGACTATACCTGAATAAGTGAATGAGAAACTAGGCAACTCAAAATGAAAACAAGCAATAGAATTCGGTTTTAAATATCCTCAATAGCTCTCCCAAGGCTCCAACTATTTCTTGTAACGTTGAGTTCATTTACAAAATCATAAAAAATGAGAAGAGCCCTATTAACCGCTAGACATTGCTTATCGTCGTGTGTTGATTCACATGGCAATGTGATTGTCATATGACAATTTAAACAATTATTGTCTGGGTTTTACATAAATGATGCAAATAAGGATACAATACCTCTGTGGGTATATTGTTTACCTTGACCCATGAAAAAATCCTGCTATAATTTCATGGTTGCATTAATATGTGAATGTGGTTATAGTCATGACTTACTAGGTGAATGTGTTCGTCATTATAAAAAATTGCATCATAAAGTATCCACTCGATTTAATGACCTCTTATTTATCATTCCGCGTGTTCTAAAGGCTGATTTTTAGATCATTAACTGGCGCTTACCCAACTGCCTGAAACCCACCCAAGCTTGCCCACCCGCCCGAACCCACCCACTCAAACCCACCCACTGCCCACCCGCCAAACCCACCCACTCAAACCCCAAAAAATCCCACCCAAGCCCGCCCACCTGCCCGAATGTTTATACAGAGTATAAACATTTGCGTGTGGTTTGTGTACTCACTGCCAACGCTCGGCCTACAGTGCTGATTAATACATTTGTAAAAATTCCATTTATTATCCGGATATGATGGGACTGGTTTTAAAATGGTCGTCGTGATATTGCGAACAATTTTGTACCAAAATGAATGACATACTTCGAAAATTATAGTGAGAAAGCTAAAATGAGTATGGGTACCTCAGTTTATGAATTTAATCCGTTCTCAGAGACGGCTCGTAACCCGAAAATTCGTAAACCGAAGTGAATTTCCGCATAAGAAATAATGGAAAATTAATTAATCTGTTCCAGACTCCCCAAAAAATTAACTTCAAAGTAAATTTTATACCTAATTCACCCAAATCTTCAGTACTAAAGTATGTAAAAGTTACTACTTACCTTTACTGATGACTCATGTTGGCGTATGGAAGATGGTGAGGAGGGGAGGGAGGAGAGGTGTTGCTGTTTGGAAGGGGAGTCCCCTTGCATTATAACATCAGGAAGTGATAACTTCTCTGGGGTACTCTCTCTGGCACATTTTGCCTGCATACCACTAGGACCTGCTTTTGCTTGATTTTCTCACTAGAAATCGTTCCATTGAAGATTGGAAATTGTTTTTCCCTTCTTTGTAACACTTGTCTGTCGTGAGGCAGCACATTGTCATTGAAAAGGTTAAGGCAACAGCCTACTACAGCTTTCTGTGGGTGAGTCGTCTCAACAAAAGTTTGCATTTCTTCCCACAGCCTATACCACTTCATAATTGTTGAGGAAGGGACATTATCTACTGCCTCCTCCTCCCCTGAAGACATTCCTCAGGTGCCTCTTGTTGCTGCTCTTTTTGAAGGGCTAGGAGTTCTTTGGTGGTCAGTTCTTCACTGTGTTCTTCCACCAACTCCACATCAACACCATCCAACTCTTAAGCCCATTTTCTGGCCCAGAGTAACAATTTCCTTGATAATAAGTACTTAAGTTCCAGGCTCAAACCTCTCAGTCTAGTTCTGAAACACATTCAGACCACAATTTTCCCAGCCAGAGATCAGGGTTCTTTGAGTCACTTCTTACCAGACTGGCCGTCCTCCTACCACCGTAACCGACGATGGGAAACGGCTCTGGCGAGGTTGCGTATTGGCCATACTCGCTTAACCCATGGTCACTTGATGGAGTGCCGCCCTGCTCCTTATTGTCCTAATTGCATTGTCCCTCTTACGGTCGTGCATGTCCTTCTTGAATGTCCTGACTTCCAGGACAAGCGTATGTCTTGCTCTCCGACCGCCCTTCGTGGTCCCTTGTCCCTCGATAGAATTTTTGGCTACTCGGATGCTTTTGATACCGTTCGCCTTATGCGCTTTTGTTCTCGTATTGGCATCCTTGGTGATATTTAGCGCCCTCTGATTTTCCCGCACATTTGATGGTGCTACATAGCCTTCCCGGTTTGGTGCCTTCTATTGATAATTACTTACTTTGTTCTTTCGGCCCGCCTCTCAACTGTCACGTACTATACCACTGCTGACTTGGGAAGTACGGTGTAGAACATGGTGGTGGTGATGTAGTAGAAGTAAATACTAATAACCTGGAGCTCTTAGGTGACTCGAACCCATGACCAACATAGTGCCAGCCACAACTTCTACCACTGTACCACCCGGACTTCCTGTTGATTCATTAGGATCCCAGGTTGTATAACTTATTAGGTCAGGGTGGTGCAGTGGTAGAGACTGACAGTATGCGGGTCATGGGTTTGAGTCACCTAAGAGCTCTAGTTGATTTTCTCATAGATATACATCACATTATTGTGATTTCTGTGTAAATAATAATACTGTACTTTGTTAATAAGAATGTACATACAAAGAACATGGGCAAAAATACAATTGTACGTACTGGAGTTTTACATAAAATGAAGTCACGACTATGCAAAACATTTTGGGCAGAACTTGGAATAATTCAGATGAAAATTATTTAAAGGTGTAATGGGGTAATGAGTAATGTAATTACTAACAGAAGTAAAGAAGGCATTCAGGGAATCTTGAATTTATGTACGATACGAATTGCACCTTGAAGCTGTTCTAGAATATGCAATTGAATAAATTCCTGGTAAAGCATGAGAGGAACATTTGAAAAGCATCTGGCATTGCTTTTAGGGCTAGATTTCTCTATAGACAAAAGCAGGTATCCTCCCAGCCAACTCCCTCCAGCCTCGACTAACTATACTTCATGGAATTGATACAGATCTGTGATCATTTCACACACCCTGTACTCGTTACTCATCACAGATACTGTCTGAAGGCACACATAATGAATAGGGGTGATGCTTTTTCTCATGAATTTTGACCACGATAGCTCAATGTATTTTTATCATTCCACTTTAATACCAGTTTGCATTATAATTTTTTTTAATTTTATTCATAGGTTTATAACATTTTGAATATTTACACAAACTTTGACTTCACTACAAATTATGTTGTGATGAACTTCCACAAAGTATAATTTTTTTTTTTCGTTTACAGTCAGAGGCAGAAGATGCAGACGTTAAGGTAAAAATTGAAGGAATGGAGGCTGGAAGCAAATCCTTTCAATCTAAGAAAACAGACATGTCACCAGGGAAGATGAAGCAAGAGGTAATAACGTGATACTTGGTTATGGTGACTGGATGGATTCCATTTAAGATGCTTGGGTGATTAGTTGAGACAACTACGCACCCATTGGGTGTCGTCTCGTACCCCCCCTTCTTCCTCTCTCTCTCTGGTGCCCTTCTCTTGTGTTGTTCCTTTTGGTGTATTTTGTGTTGCCTCAGTAGTTGATGCACTATCTTGGCTTCTTAATTTGGAGACCTGTAGTTTTCACAACCCACTATCGTAAGACTACAGTTCGAGTGAGAACAGCACATATATATTTATATATGTATGTTGTATATATATATATATATATACATTACATATTCCAAAACCTAATGAAGGGGCTAGTAGTTCTTTACTAATAATTCATCTGGTAAATTACACGAATTATTATGGTACATCCAAAGGGGATAACATGAATGTATAAAGAGTAACATTTGAAACATTAGTTTCAAGAAGAATGATTTAGTTGGACCATTGGACCAAGGTACTATACAAGTTTTGTAATTTCCCTATGTGCATTTTAATATTACTCATCTTGGCATCAATACAGCCGTTTTCCACGATGAATTTGTACTTGCCACAGCAAGTGCTTACCCTCTGACCTGGTAGCTGTTGTTGGTTCATAATGTTTTTGTTCACTCAAGTTCCTCATTGTGTCTCAGAAGCTTTTGAATTGGTGCAAATATCTTTCACAGACAACACCTGCTCAGTCTTTACAGGGATTGAATACAGTTTCTCTGGTGTATCAGTTTGTTTCCCATTCATAGGTTATTTGCTTGAGTAGTTAGAGGACTTTCAACTTGTATGCACCAGAAGAATTGTAACTAATGTTTATCATAGTAATAAACTCAGGTGGCTAAACAATTACTGTAACATAACTTGGAAGGAAAGCAAAAGTAAGTAATGCAAACATTTGTTGAGCTTGATTTCGATTGGAACTTTAGAAAAAAGTTTTAGTTCATTTCATACATTTGGTTGAATTTAACTGGCATCCCTGAATCTATCACGTATTCGTAGGTTGACTACGATTCGGCAGAATCTTACGCCGAAATGAGAACATATCTTGTTTTATAAAATGTATTTTATTGTTATGAATTTAGAGTATGGTATTATGTAAATGTCTTGGATTACTTGAATATTTAAGCAGTCACTGGGTTACTGGCAAAAATTAAATTTGTTAAAAATTATTCCTTAAAAGTAAAACGGCATATTGTTAGGTGTGGGGTGTTTATGGCATACTGGCATTTGCCAAAAAAAAAAAAAAAAAAAAAAAAAAAAAAAAAAACCATTTGACATGGACGAATTATCCTTCGTCATTTCTTTCTGCCTAAACCTGTTACTTACACAGACATGTTTTTGAGTACCGAAGGCATATTTATGGAATGTTACAATTTTATTCTGAATTTCCATGCTCTGAGATACATAATGGTAGGTGGCAGTGGTGAAAGGGTTCACTAGTACTGCACATGGAAGCGAGTGTTACCAATACTGTGGCGTACAAAGATGCTGCTACTAAATGTTTACAAGTTACCAGTGATGTGGGATACAATGATAGGTTAATATTGGGATGTAATACACAGCATTGAGGTATCAGTACTGTTGGCGATGTAAGTAACCAAAATCATGGGGTCCATTTGTGAGTTAGGGATATTGGTGGGATATACAGTATAGACTAGCCAAATACTCTGGCATTTGTTTGGGATTTGCCACTGTTTTGGTATATATGAAAGATAAACTCAGGAATATTCCAAAGGCTCTTACTATGTTGTTATTTGTTGTTTCTGACTGCAAGCATTAGCCATATTAAGAAATTGATTAAACTAATACATTGACAATTGTCTCACAAAGATCCTACTACTTTTCTGCATTGCATTTAGGATGATGCACAAAAAGCCTGTTATAAAGTATATTGAAATTATATGTTAGGCATTGGAGTCGTCTGTACGTGTTAGACTTTTATGATAGAATGTTGTGCTGCCTTGATGTAAATACAGGTAAAGGCTTGGGGATGTGTGGACTAAGTAGAACTTTAAAATCTATTTAAGTTGTATTTTCATCTCGAGTATTTCCTGGGGTTATGTACTACGATATACTGTGTCAAGTTTCATCGAGGGGTATTCCTCAAGTGCCCATTAATAATGTTTGGTGGAGAAAATTTGGGTGTGCTTCATATTTTTCAAAGAGAATATGACATCTAGTTTTATCTTGGGTATTCCTTGAAAAGGTGAGAGTAATTGATACTTAAATTGTTTAAAATTGTGAATAATTTTACTTAATTTAACCAGCACTGATGTACTTTACAAAGTTCTGATGCAAGGCAAGTTATATCCAGCTCATTTTGTTTTGTTATTGTACTTTAGGATGAATGTGAGGGATAAAGCGAAGATGGAATTGTTATTATCATGGGATGAGGGTATAGGTGTACCATTTACTTTTAAATCTCAAGGGTCAGTAAACCAGGGAGATTTGAGTCACATCTGCTGGTGCTGTAATACCAGTGGACAGTAGGTAACGGCATTCACCTTTAGATGTGTGTGTATGTGTGTGTGTGTAGGGTAAATATCACTGGGATGAAACTGCCAGGCATTCAAAGATACTGTGATCTCAGTTTTAGTCAGTACTTGTAAGTTGAATCTTTAGCTTGTATTATATTTACCACCATAAAGAGAAGGGGCAGCTTGCTGTGCCTGGGCACTGTACATTTGCTCTGTCTTTTATGTTGCTATTATTGCACAATTTTCAGATGCCAAATTAAATATAATTATAGCAGAGCTTTATTTAGAACATTGTGTCTTCCAGTTAAGGCCATCATGATAACTGTTCTTCATACAGATTTAATGTATAATTAATTTAGTAACTTTTTCACTACAGTACTTGCTTAAATACTGTCAAGAAGTGTAATGGATACAGTGTACGATGAGCAATGTTGGGCATTATCTACATGCTACAAGGCGTTTCAATTTAAATTAATTCTAGTTCATTGTTGATCCAGGATATTATTTTTCTTTCATTGTAACTGAAGAACCAGTTACCTAAGTAGCTTTACACCTTGAGTTACTAGTGGACTATAATTAATTTTTACGACTTGGTTGATCTGGTTTGGACAGTGTAATTGAAAAAGTCCAAGTTATATGTGACTGTGTATTGATATTGTGTTAGTGTATATAGCTCTGGATTTTCCATCTTGAACCATGATCTGTGATTTTAATGTGAGATTTTGCTGTCACATTCTTCACCAAATATTATCTTGCACTGTATACACAACCAAGACTTGAATTTTTTATATATATCATCTAAGGTAAAGTAATCCTATTCGGGTTATTGTGTTATAAGCCTTTTTTTCTACTTGTTTTATATTAATATTAATGAACAAGTTTTGTCCAGGTGATTGATTTATTTAACTGAGCTCTTTCACTTGAAAAAAAAAAATATTTGATATAACAAACATTATGTTCCTATCACTTAAAATGTATAGCATTATGAATGTGGTGTACGTGCACTTGTGTACCATTTTACATTGCATCAGTAGTAGTCACTTTGTAACAGGTTGGCTCCTTTTTGTAATTAAATAAAAAAGTTGATAATTAAGTACATAGAGTTCTTGTTTGATTAATCCTTGTACATAATAAGTTTGAGTGAATGGTATTGGGTGTTGTGCATGTATTGTTTATCATGCTCATGTATGAGCCAACCTATTACTAGACTATTTGTTGATGTGAGTGATAGGTTCATAATAACTTGATCAGTGAAAAAGAAAAGTTCAAAGAAGATGATTTGTGGAAATGTTTTATGAAGTGAATCTGCAACATGTAGGTAATGATTAGTCCATTATTGTTGATAGGAGGTTAGGGATGAAAAGTTAGCTTTGGGTGAAAGTAGACATACCTTTCTCTATAGGAACTATGGTGGGTTAACTATCTGTAAATGGTATACCAATCATGACTAGCTCACCGATTTATCTTCATTCGTTAACATTTCATTTAAAAATCTGTGCCGTTACCTATGAAGAAAGGAATCTTACATCTTAGCCAGCAGATGAGCTTAGCTCGGGCCATGTTAAGATCCAAGTGCGATTTTACTTCTTGCCATATACTAGTAGAATTGCTTTTAATAATGATATTCATAGTAACTATTGATGAACAGTAATAATTTAGGCCTTGAAGTTTTTACAAAGTGAAGAAATGTTTTAAATCTGGTCAGAAAATCTGATTAGCAAAAATATTTTTGAAATATTTACCTTGTGAATTGGCAAAGAACATGTTTTAATATAAACTTGTAAAATTAAGTAAGACGAGTAGAAATTCATAAGCAAGTTTTGTGAAAAGGAAACTGGCGGAGAGAACTGGTTGGGCAGTTTTTCAAACTTGACAAAGGTTGGAAAGTTAGTATGATAGGTACAGATTGCAGGATAGTGTGTGTTGTAACATGTTCGTGGCATCTGAGGGGAAGGGGAGACGTTGCTAAGTGTTGATAAAGTGTTCAGGCTAGTTGATGTAACTCAAAATGAATACAACAGAGAATGTAAGAGAATATAACTTGTATAAAAGGACAAGAATGCCTCCAGTATGTGCACTTATTAACAAATGCCAAATTACTTGGATTATTCAACTTGGGGACAATTAAGTGTCCCACTGATGCACCAACTTAGGAAAAATACTTTTTACAAGTACAGTATTGGAAATGATCTTGTTTTAAATAGCCATTGAATTTTGAGCTTCAAGTTACATAGCCTTCCTGGTTTGGTGCCTTCTTTTGATAATTACTTACTTTCTTACTTGAGCTTCAAGTGCTAAAGACGTTGAAGAGTACTGAAAATGTATTGGAGTTGATGTCATCATTGCCGGAGTTTCCTTCAGTCTGTGTATGATCGAAATACTAAAAACATTTGAAAGAAGACAGCTACAGTAATTTGTCTTATTGTGTGTGTATTATACAATTATTATGGTCAAACATTTTAACTAAAACTACTACTAGATTTATCTGCATGCATTTTCTTATCA